CTGCTCTGTAAAACAGGTGTAGTATGGAAAGGAATTCATGTAGAATCACTGCAGCCCTGCACTTTAAAAAAAATCAAAGCTTTGTACTGACTTTCTGAGTGAGCACAAAACCACCTCAAAGTCTAAATACAGCCTGCCATGAGGCGCCATTACATTTTTATTTTTGCAAGCTATACTCAAAACTAAGGGGACACTATCCAATACATCTCTTAATAGCTAATATCCTTTTAAAAACTGACATTTAAAAGCAATCTTTGTAATCTTTGGTTGAAAAGTGTTCCTATTTCCACTTCAGTAAAATAATAGATTCATATAATTGTGGCTTCTCTGCATGGCAACAAACCAACACAGACAGTTCTGGTCCTCTGTGGATGTCTCTGCATGTAACGCAGTTTCATACACTGATGCAGTGCTGCTGCTTCATTCTCTAACACTTCTTTTCATTTGTAAAAGAGGTGTATCCTGAAATAACCAAGAATTCTTCTACTGGAAGCATTTATCTCCTCTGAGAATGGAGAAGGCTAGCAAAGCTAATCAATATAACAATATAGAGAAAATCATACAGTTTAGACATGAACAAAAATTTACATCCTTCCTTATGCCTGCTTTTCAGAACAGCAGCATCAGTCTTGCTCTCCTTGCAAATAAATGTCTTTTTCTCTTGTATTAAAGCAAGTTGCTTGTCCCAGTCAAGGACTTATTGTACAGCCCTGTGTACAAAACCATAGGAAGCAAGCTAAATCCCTGACCTTGAGTAATTCACTTCAGATCAGCTTGTGTTAGCACAGGTGCAAGTCAGATAGCGTGCATGAGCCCAGCACCATTGTCTATCCACAAAACTAAATGCAAAATGCAACAAAATAAAGTGGAAAGTGAGCATAGAGAGTGAAGAAGGGTAGATGAGATCGGTAACACTGAGAAAATGGTGTGTCTTCACCTCAGTGGGCTGTATGCACAAGATGCAGGACCAAAGCATGGATCTGTTAGTTTCCTGGCCCTAAGGTTGCCCTTGTGTGCTTGTTAGATATCACCATAGATCCGTGAGGTGCACCCAGCCTGTGCAGTACTACAGCAAGTGAAAGGCACATCAACACCACAGCCCTGTCATGAGGGCACAAACCACAGAGTCTGGCAGCTCGTGGGTTTGCCTGGTGTCAGGGGAAGGTTTGTATCCGGTCTGCAGAAAGCATACTGCATCCCTGTAGCAGTGATGCCACTCACAGTTACCTGATGAGTAGCTCCTGCTGTATCTGCTCCCTGCTGAGCTGAGTCACTGGTACAGAGTGCAGAGACAGCAATCAGTTCATGTGATGTGCATGACAAGACATTCAAAATAAGAATACAGCACTGACAGTGGATTGTAGTAAAAGCCATGGCAACCTAAAGTGTTTGACTGAGAACATGCTGTGTAGGATCTCTGCCTACTAGCTTTCTTTCACTCCCACATCAAATTCTTTGTCCCTAATGGGATGCTACCCCTGTACAGATCTAGGCTGAGCATTCCTCCAACACTAGGAAAGAGGTAGTTACCAAGTTATCCTTTAGCCACTGCTCATATACCAGCTTTTGAGATTACCAACATGAAGACGTGCATCATGTTGGCAGGATCTGAGCAGGCTTCTTAAGCATTAAAGAGCAAGGACAACTGAATTAGTCACCCTAACTCTGATGTCTGGTGACGTCTGTGGTATTCAGAGGAATCCGAGATGTTCAGTATAGCAAGATATGATACCAGTCTTACAGTAAACCTACATCTAAAAAGCATGATCTATTGGCCAACCTGGAGACTTCAGATTGAGCAGATACATTTGAGCAGAGCACTTAAAAGATGGCAAAAGGATGGAACATGTTGGAAATTTAGGCTGTGCCTCCAAGTTCCAAGAACTTAGTGGGAAATCTAACCAACAAGCTCTGTTATACTCAGTGACAACCCAACTAATGCAGTTCAGGGAGCCTAAGAATGATTGGACTCACTGCATAGCAGACAGCTGATGGCTGTTCAGCCAATGCCCTCTATGCTCACTGAAATGGCAATATGCAGCAGTAGGAAGAGCTATAGGCACCTGCACTAAGGCATCAATCTTAAACTGGATTCTGCTCACCTAGCCAGAACATTTTTGACAGCCATGTTCTATATCAAAATTAATAACAATAATAATAATAAAGTGTCGTGGTCTAGCTTTTGTTTTTATGGCAGTGCACTGGTTTGGATTGTGACAACTACAGCAGTGATTTATTCATGTAGAAGTCCGCAGTGTAAACAGGTATCACACAAAAAAGGAAAGACTTTCATTACTTATTAGATATATTACAAAATGTTCCTCCTTTTCTTTTATGATAGCACAATAACAGTCATCTTTATGTTGTATCTCTCCTTTGAAATGATCCAGTCATAAAGCCTCAAAAATTCAACTGCAGTTAGACAGGCACCATCCTGACCCAGACCGACTGTATTCCCCCATGCATCTCTATCCATCTGCTATTTTCCTTCTTCTATGCCAAGATTATCTATCATCTGGGACAAGGGAATGCCTTTTATTTTGTAGCTGTTCAGGACTATGGAATAGGGGCTACAAGAATACAAATCATCAGCATCACGGTGTCTATGATGATTTATGCTCCCCTGCTAGCCAAAGACCTGAAATCCTTGCATACTTTTTAAGAAGAGAGGCACTGCAAGTATATATTAAAAAAAAAAAATACTAGCAGCTCTGGTAGCTGGTGAAAATGATTCAGGATAATCAATCTTCTAAGCTTTACTGCTGAGCATCACCATACTCAGCAGGAGCTAGGAGCACTAGTTATTTTCTTTAGATTAGACACAGGTGGCATCAGGTGCTCTCATCAACCAAAAGGAGTACAGGTAAATTGGTGACTAACCAATTTTGTTTGGTGGGAAACCAATCACAAAGCAAACTGGGGCAGGTTTTATTTACGGGTGGAACAGTTAGGCCAGGAAAGGGATCGAGGCCAGAGGAAGAAATGGGATGTTCATTGTGGGGGGTTTCTGCTGGAATTTGTAAGAAATTACTCCAGTAATTGTAGAAGAAGGAATCTCAGAGAAATAAGCTCGCAGTAATTAAGGTGCAGTAACTATGGTTACTAAGGAAACAGTGAGAAAGGAAAGCTGAACCACAACTCAGGGCATGGATACGGTTTTAACACCAAAAGCCTAATTTTAGCTTTCTGAAATACAACTAGGTGCATAGCCCATCCACGTTCCCAATTACAGTATGTATGTGTATGTATATGTCCACATATATATATATATATAACTATCATAGAATGAAGCAAAGACAAAGGGAATAGAAAAATGAGTCAGCTTGTAGACCATCACACAACTATGAAGTTCATCATGTACTCAGAGGAAGCAGTGCTGTGTTTTTAGTTTGACAGCTCAGGGCAAGTGCCCCGGGACTTTCCCTGGGGAATTTCTATTGCCACAAAGAGGAAACGAGCGTCTTCAGTTTGACCTGAGGATTTCTAAAGAGACACGAAGGCTCCCTGAGAAGGAAGTATGTCTACTGCAGGCCTAGCACAACCCTCCCAGGAAAGGACATGTTAACTCTAGAGCTAATGATCATAAATACTCCTAAAGTGCAGCAAGAACATGGAATTTGGCAAGTCCCACCAAAACAAAACAAAGCAAACAGAAAAACACTGAGAAAAAGAGTAAATATTTAAGCAAATCCACACTGAACTTCATAGAATTTTTGACAGCCACTGAGCGAATTAATGTGCGTTTTTGAAACAAGATGGGATAGTTTGGTGATCCATAGCTTGGTCCATGTGGTGAGTGTTGCAGTGGAGTTTACCTGCTGTGCTGTTTTCCACGGGCTGTCTGCCCTACAGCCAACAGCCTAGCCACAGCCACCCCAAGGCATGGCTTTGGACCTGAATACAGCAGCAAAGCTACATTCCTATTTTCAGTGGTAGTGTACTAAAGCCATACCTGGCTGTGCCCTTGTGCTCTCTTGCAGGCTCATTATGGTTTCCTTACCCAGTGTAGATATACCCTCTAAGGCTGCAATTTGAATTAGTCACCTAGGTTTCTTCTTCAATCACAAGTAAGAAGCAGGTAGCATTACCTCACTCATCCTAGGCAGCTCCTCATCACAAAACCCATTTCAAAGTGCCTACATTTCTGAACTAGGAATCTAGACTCCCAATGTAAACTGGCAAAGACTGTAGCTTCTCTACAGTTAGGTAAAATGAGTCCCATCCCTTACCAGATACAGTTTTCTGAAGGTGGAATGGACTGCTACCAGGCAGAAATATCTCAGATGTCCTGGCACAACATTTTTTTGCAACACTCTCATCCTTTGGAGTTGTATCTGGCAGCCAGGAGAACTGCATGAGCATATCTTTGCACTGGACACCAAACTGCTTCCGTCTGATAGCTGAGTGGGCAACTTCCCCCAAAGCCAGGACACAGACAAAAGAGCCTATAGATTCATCTTGACAAAGGGCAGGCATTTATGCAACCAGAATGTGTTTACAAGGTTAGCAGATAGGATTGAGGAAGTCAGGCAGGATTGCTAGTAAATAACTGGACCTGCGCTTATGGATGTGAATTGAGCCCATGATTCATGTTGCCTCTGTACGCTGTTACTGGAAAGCCAAAATATTTTTCAAGAAAAAATTCGATGAGTTTTCACCCTGCTGTTTCCAAGAAACGGTGAAGTTTAGTTTTGTATTCTATTTTTCTTCAAGGTCCTCCTAGGCATTAGAGGTGTGGTTTGATGTAGTTCTATCTATGCAGGTCCAGATGGTGTGACACTGGAGTTATGAGTCACTGGTGCCCTTTTGGACCAAAGCAAGAATCCAGACAGACTGAGAGCAGTAACACTTATGCTGGGCAAGTGAGTCAAGTCCAAAACACATTTGACTCATGGCTAAGATGGATACAATTTTAATATTTATTTTAAAAAATAAGACTGAAATAATTTTCATAATGAAAATGAAGATAACATAATATATTTAGTTTTGGAGCAGTAGGTTTCCAAAGATGACATCAGTTTCTACATTCTTTCAGCACAATCACAGTCTGAACTCAGTGGTAATACGAGCAAAATCATATGAATTCAGCTCCATTTCTTTCCAATAATGAAAAGAATAACACTTCCTTTATTCACACTAGGATACAGACCCCTGGTCTCAAACATAAAGGATTTTTTTTCTATATGATAAATAATATTAAAAAAAACTGAAGACTTGAAGATTCAAGAAAAGAATTCAGAGTGAGTAAAAAACAACACTTCCTACAGACACTGGTGAGGAGCTTCATCTTAAACACTGGAGTCCTGGAATGAATCACAGGAACTCTCTCATCATCAAAAATTTACGCATCCTATAATCCCTAAAGGGAAAAATCGTATCTGAAAAAAATCTTTAGACCAAAATTAGAAAGTAACAATAAAGCTGACAAAACTGTCTGAAGTACATATTTTAGCAGAGAATTATTAGAAAGTCAGCATAAAGTGCCTCTTAATCATACTCATCATGCATCTCTTGGCAGTAAATCCAAGCAACTCTGGTTTTATATACCTCTATGGACCTTATTTTATTGCTTACTTGCTTGGTAAATTTAAACTAAGTACATAGGCAAAAAGTGTCTAGAGTGTCACCTGGAAAAGGTAACTTCCTATCACTCATTATGAGCCTGCTTTAAAATATCCAGTGCTTAGAGCCAAGAGCGTGAGTTTGCAAAGCTCAAATGACTGGTCAAACCATTGGAAATATGAATGCGGCACATTGAATTTCTCGGTTACGAGCAGTTGAAGCAAATGTCTCAGAAGTTAAGAATCTCTAAATCCCATAATTTCCTGAACCTTCCAGTCCCCCCAGGAAAGAGCAATAAACCTGGACTTCCTCCCAGCCCCACCAGCTGGAGGATGAATGGTGTTACCGTTGCCAGAGCAGAATGTGAGGGAGCATGCAACAGGTTCCATCAGGCACTGTGAAGTCCCTTGTCAGATGTCACAAGAGTTTCCAAGTTATTGCACGGTGCTTAAACAAGATAAAAGGAAAAATTAATTCAGTGTTTAGAAATTAAATATCTAAGTTCTCACTGTAATTACTGTTAAAACAGGTTGAAGAGTTTACATGCGATCTCAAAAATAGGCTTTTACACCACATACACATAAATCATTTTAAAAAACAGTTATTATTTCAAATGCTCAAAAACTCCTGACAAGGGACTAATTCATAACACTGTATTGCTGGTCTTAGTCAAATGGACACTATTGTCTCCAAAAGCCTGAATTACTGTGAAATCTTAGGTGCGTTATGTTGTCTGTTTCCAACTATATTTAACGTTGCCTTATTACTTAAAAATACAACCTTGAAAGTAAGATGACAAGAACTAAATTTATTTGGTCTAAAGGGATACGAATTAAAGGAAACAAGCAAGATAACTGTATAAATATTTGCACAAAAAGTAATGAAAGGAAAAGAAATATTTCCACTGGGGATTAGTTGTAATAGCGTAAAGGGCTGAAGATGAAACAGAACCAGTTCAAGCTCTGTCTCAGGAAGAAGTGTTTTTGAAGACACTATGGATGACAGGACAGAAAGGAAACTTTGTGATGCTTTTGTAGTGAATACATTGATCCTCTTCCTTTTCGCCTTCCCAGGTAACTAAAGAGAGGTTTTTCAATTCTTTCAGGCCTAATTTATTGGGTTTTGCCATCTGATTTTCACACTCAGAAAAAAAGGTGGCCTTTGTGCCTCCTTATGAGTCACCAAAATCATTTGAGTTGTCAGACCACCACACAATTAGAAACTCTCATGAGGTTCTGTCCTCCATTTTAGCCCATGTCAAGGATACCAGTAGAGAACACATCTTAGCTTCCATATAACTTAAGGGAGGACATGCAGACAGATGAGGAAGGTCATGAAAACCCCATGGTATGCAGCACACTGATTGGGCAGCTTGAGAAACCACGAGCCCACGTGGGAGAAGGCATCCTGCAAGCTGAGGTTCTTTTAGAAAGGTGGGTTTGAGAACAAACACTGGGTTTGATGACCCACTCAGTTCCCGGGTGAGCTATGGGGTGATATTCTATGGAGTTAAGCTGTAGCTTATGCAGAAACTCCTGCAGTTAGCCCTCAGAGCATTTATTTGCATTTTGTGAAACAAACAGGATTCTGCCTGCATGTACAACTAAAAATTAATAATTAAGTTACTCTCTCAGAAGAGCAATACAACAAAAATCAGTTGTTATTAACCTTAGGAAGAGCAATATATTGCCAATACATAAACTGCAAGACTGCACAAGTCCCCTAACACCTAGCCCACCCACAATTAGCATTTATAAATCAGTCATACTGAAAGATATCCTGAAATGAACTGTAAACACAAAGGATAAGCTCCTCTAGTTAGACAAAGTCATCCATTCAGCTCCCTCCAAAATGGAGAGAGATCAATGCTGCCCTGTAAAAGGCAGTGAGAAGCCCGATGCAATTCTCATTGAAAAGTATAGAAAAATGATCAGGCTCATAAAGGAAAATGAAAGCCAGCTTATATTTAAGGGAGAGATATAAAACATGTATACATAAAAAAAGTACAAGTACCTTAAGCTATAGACACATCACCAAGCTTTAAAGTTTGCTTCTGACAGATAGAATACATGTTTGCTTTGACTGAGTGCCAGTACTAGTGGAAGGCCCATGGGAAAACCAGAATACTGTGCAGTTGGGTTGTCTGACCTTTTCTGAGAGGCTCCTGACTCTCAGAACCACTCTTCTGACTCTCAGAAAGGTTGGGAGGGTTTAAGTATGAATTGAAGATGAAAAACGTAATAGGAAGACGTAGGAAAAAGAAAGGAAAGAAACCAACAGCCATGGAAACATTTATTCTAACTTGTTCCCTCTGGCATCGCTTTGTTAAATCAATGTTAGCTCTTCCAGAGACACTGCCTTGCTTTAAATGTGGCTTTGGCTGTGGCCAGATGACTGGTGCAGAGGACTTGGTACAGACTGTTGTTATCAGTGGTAGTGGTGGCTCTTTGTTTCCTAGATGTACGTATATTAAAAAATAATGTTGAGGCCTTGCACTCCACTAGAGCAGGAGTTTCCGCCCAGCACCAGTGACCCAGCAGAATGCAGCACTCCTCATACTCCTCTCGCTTCCTCACGCAAGCACCCAAACCATAGGAGCACCAGTGAGGGCTGCTGAGGAAGGAGAGCCTCATACAGCTTGCTGTGCTATGCAGCTCTGTGCTGGGAGGCAGGCAGCAGGCTGGTACCCACCAACACGTAGTAAGGCACATCTTAGCATCATAGCAGTTTCTGTGCCAGCTGGGATCACTGCAGTCACATCCAGAGGTCTGCAAGAGATTAAGAAAACAGAGTTGGAGCCACAGGCAATTAATTAGTCAAGCTCCTGTACACAGATAGAGATCAAATCAACAGCAAGCGCCTGGGGATTTTATGCTCCTTTTCTCCTGCTTCCTTAACTACTCTGAGCATGACTTTTTGCCTGTTTTGTTGGTTTGGGTTTGGTTTTGTTTTTATTTTTAATTATTTTTATTTTTGCTTTTTTCTTAATGAATTTCTGCTTCCCAGTAAGCAGAGATGAGGACTGTGTGGCAAGTCATTGACTATTCACAGGAGAGTAAAGGAGGTCTCATTCAGTTAAAACAGTAATAATAATAAAATTAAAGTCTGGCTGTGTTTCTCTAGCTACATTACTTAACAAAATATTTGTTCTGAGCTGCAGCCTTCAGACAACGAGAAAGAAGCTCCTTGTTTTTCAGAGACAGACAAAGCAGTCAAATGGTGACTTCAATGGAGCAATGAAGTTATATTAAAGCAGAAGATCAACTGATATTCAAGTTCCATCCCAGCTTTCTGTTCCACCCTTTAAAGTGGTCACACCACGATGACACATTGAGACCGGTGGACAAAGCTAGAGTTATATATTCCCTCTGGAAGATTTGGAGGCCAAAAACCTAAGCATCTCCCAGCTTTTTTCACACCGAATGTGTATTTTTGGCATGATCAGAAGCTAATTAGAATTACCAGGAGTAATTACATGGGCTGAGGCTCCCTGCCAGGCTGTGGCATTGTGGCCCTGGCACCCCACACAGCTTGCAGTGAGCCCCAGCAGCGAAGCCTTGCATCCAAACCACACAGGTTTCTGCAGCACACGGTCTGAATTACTCCCACAGGAAGATGCTACTTCCAAGTTGTGTTACCAAGGAATATTCTCTGCCTTCAGTGTAACTGTTCAGTAACATGCATCTTGTGTATGAAATACAACAGAAATGCTGACAGGCCAGCTTTCATGGCTGCTGACACCAACTTTCTGAGCAGGGCTACGTAGGTTGTGCTGACACAACCCTTCTCCAGAACAGCTGCAATCACTTGCTGCTTTGGTGAGGGAACGGGGGTGTTTCTTTTCTTTCTTTGCCTCCCATGAAGGGTTCCGAAGTGCCAGCTGTGCCGTAGGGCTGAGGCCACCAATGCTTATGCTACAGATGTGAGCGTGTGAAAGGGAAAGCCATTTCCCCTTCTAGTTTCATTTTTCATTTTTCCTTCAGATGATTTAATAATCTCACACTCGACAGTATGTGGTTAAAATGGACAGTGCTCCAGTTTATGCTGAATAAGGCATAACACCTATTCTTCTAAGCTGATAAGCACTCAGGACAGGCAAAATTCCTACAGAGAGCCAGATATCAGCCCCATTTACTTGAAGGTTAGTGAGCGCATTCACAGAATGCAAATGCAGCCAGAGGGTAAAGCACTGGCTTCTTGGGCTCAGTCTTTTGGGGCAGAGCTAGAGTATAAGTGTTTGAAAAGATATTCAAGTAGCCTCTCAGATTACTATACAGCACAGATAATTAAGAGTTCATGTCTCCCTTCATCAACAAAGTGCTTAAGGACATGCTTAAAAGTGTTTTGCTGATTTTGGCCTCCGGTACTTCTCTGCAAGGAGCCAAATGCCTACAGCTCCCCTTGGAAAAGGAAAGTGCATTTGGACCCTGGAGGAACTGACGCACTTTGCAAAGTCTTTCCCAACAGCCATCACAGCAGGAACCTCACTGCTTAGTTTGAATACCCTACAGGAATGACTGACAAACTGTGCCTAGGTCAATGCAGCGGGTTTATTTGAAATTCCAGATTTTCCTAAGTTGTGAACACTCATTTTGTTGTTCCTACAGTTGCTTTAGTATAGTGCAAGGTTAATCTGTCTCTCTACTCACCCTGTTACTCACAGAATGAAGGAGTCTGTTCACAGAGCAATCTTGTTCCTTGAGTATGAAGGCTCCAAGCACAGTACTCAGCAGCACAGAGTGGATGTTTATCCTGAGCTCAGATCTTCTGAAAGAGCAACTGAAAAGAAAACAAACCAGCAGCAATGCACAATACAAAATACCCGCCCAGTGCAATCCCCTCTGATACAGACAGAAATCAACACAATCACATTGCTTATCTGAGCTGAACACAGACAGAAATCCCGGGCAGATGGATGGAATATTGCAGTGCCAGACAAGCCAGGACTTCCCTGTATGGCCAGCTACCAAGTCTTGCCTTCTCCTGACCCTTCATTGTAAGAATCACAGAAAGTGAAGTGATCTGCATCTCCTCAGCATATCAAATTCATTGCCTAAAAATATACATTTTGACAGAAAAAATGAACAATTCTAAATTTAATCAAAATGAAAACGTGAAATAGACTCTCCCAAAGCTCTAGCATTTTAAATTCTCTGAAGCCTTATCCAAATAAAAAATTTTCCTTCCCTGTACCAAAGGGACACAGTCCCAATGCTTTCCACAGAAAGCCATCTAAGATGGTCTGATATCATTTCATCCCTTGGTGCTGCTTCTCTTACACACCCTCTAGAATACAGTGGGGGCAAAGAGGGTATTTAGAGGGTGACAAAAATAACTTGAAAAGTGCCAGCAAAATGCAAGATGCAAATGTAGCAGGCCTCTGTCAGCTGTACTGCTTGGGGCCAGAGGGCTCTAAAAAAATGCAAACAGCAGCTTTGTGCTACTGCCAGTTTTGAGGGCCTCACCTCTCCCCACCTCCAAAAACAGGGAACATGACAGGCAAAAAAATAAAATAAATAAAAGGAAAGTTTCTGAAACCTACAGGCTGATTAGCAGCGAGATTGCAGTAACCAGATGCTGGCACACAAGGAGGATTTTAAAAAAAGAAGTCCTGTCCATTATGCAACTGTCGAAAACATCTCTGCCTCAAACAAAAAACTCCAAAAATAGGCCAAACGTGCTGTACTTCATGGACTAGCTAGCTGCAAAAACATTTCAGACTGCCTTAACTATGGCCTGAATCCTAAACGAACAAGGAGGTTAAGCAGCATACAGCATTCACATTGATCTAAAGCAGAAAAATCACTTCTGCTTTTCCAGCAACATGGTCCTGAATTAGAAAACAGGGCAACTTGTTCCAGCATCTCACCACCCTTGCAGTAAAGAATTCATTCCTGATATCTAATCTAAATCTACCCTCTTCCAGTTTAAAACCATTTTCCCTTGTCCTGTAACTGCATGCCCTTATAAAAATCCCTTCCCGACTTTCCTGTAGGCTCCCTTCAGGTTCCAGAAGGCTGCTATAACATTTTCCCAGAGCTTTCTTTTATCCAGGCTGAAGATTCCCCGTCTTTCAGCCTGCCCCAGGTGCTCTCCTGCACCTAGGAGAGGTGCCCCAGCCCTCTTATCACCTTCATGGCCCTCCTCTGGACCTGCTCCAACAGATCCATATCCTTCTTACGCTGGGGGCTCCAGAACTGGACACAGTTCTCCAGATGGGGTCTCACAAGAGCAGAGTAGAGGAGCAGAATCCCCTTCCTTGACCTGCTGTCACACTTCTCTTCACAGAATCACAGAATCACCCGGGTTGGAAGGGACCCCAAGTATCATGTAGTTCCAACCCCCCTGCCTAGCAGGGCCACCAAACATACACATTCAGATCAGGTTGCCCAGGACCCCGTCCAACCTGGCCTTAAACACGTCCAAGGACGGGGCATCCACAACCTCCCTGGGCAGCCCGTTCCAGGGCCTAACCACTCTCCTAGTAAAGAACTTCCCCCTAACATCCAACCTAAATCTTCCCTCCTTCAACTTAAAACCATTTCCCCTAGTCCTGCTGTTATCAGCCCTTTTGAAGAGTTTACTCCCCTCCTGGGTGTAGGTTCCCTTCAGGTATTGATAGGCTGCAATGAGGTCACCCCGCAGCCTTCTCTTCTCCAGGCTGAACAAGCCCAACTCCCTCAGCCTGTCCTCATAGGGGAGGTGCTCCAGCCCCCTGATCATCTTAGTCGCCCTCCTCTGGACCCTTGCCAAAATCTCAATGTCTTTCTTGTACTGAGTTTCTTGACATGACCCAGGATACAGTTGGCCTTCTGGGCTGCAAGCGCACATTGCCAGCTCAGATTGAAGCTTTCAATTGACGCTCCCAAATCCTTCTCCTCAGGGCTGCTCTCAGGCTATTCTCCACCCAACCCGTATCTGTGTTTGGGATTGCAAAAAAGATTTAGCTGTTACTACTATATCCTTCTCTTCTATTATTTTCAGTTTTACCTGGAGGCAATGTACTGCAGTGCATCCAAAGGACACACCCTGCACTGACACATGGCCACAGGGCAGGCAGAAGGGGTGGCATGGGGTGCCAGACCCAAGCACTCCCTCTGGGCCCTGCAGAAAACTGAGGAAAACATTTGATTTAATTCTCTGGGTAAGGATCTTAGATTGCTTTCTCTGGACAGAGTGCCAAAGTAGAAAGGCAAACTGTTGCTGTACCAGAACAGCGATAGCAGCAAAGTCCTTTTGCACAGCACTGTAGGGACTCCTCACTGAGGAAGCTGCACATCATCTCCATAAGCTCCTCCTGCTTTTCCTGTTGGAGAATGTTTTCTTTATTTCCCAAGCCTTCTCTCTACCCAAGCCATTCTCAGATTGCTTCTGTTAAGTCTTTCCATGGGCCTGTTTCTAGAACTGTCCAGGCATCCACATCCTTCACCCTATTCTTTTGTATCATTTGGTATCACTGCTACTGTCTTGGTTTCAGCTGGTTGACTTTTTATCCACACTGTCTGATACGACACTACGTTTTAGCTTTAGGATAAATACAGTGTTGATAACACACTAACGTTCTAGCTGTTGCTGTATGGAGCCAAGGACACGTCAGGTTCTCATACTCTCCTGCCAGCAAGGGAGGCTGCAGGACTGGGGGACACAAGGAGCTGGGAGGGTGTCTCCAGGAGGCAGGAGAACTGACCAAAGGAAAATGTCATACTTTGTGACACCATGGAGAGAGGAGCTGGACAGGAGAGCCAGACAATGCTCAGGTCAGTCAACCATTGCACTGTGCATCACTTATTTTATACATACATATTATTATCATTACTATTTTCCTTTTCCTTTCTTGATTTTCAGTAAAATGTCAAGTACTTGTCTATGCCTAAAATCCATATGTTACTATTAAAACTGGTTGTAAATTTGCTTTTGGATTTTTTATTCTGTTTTAAATGATTTTTGGAAAACTCCTGTTCTATCTGAGCATGTTTCCCAGAATGAGGTCATATATAGGTTAAGTCCTAGAAAACAATTAACAAAAAAAGTCAATGTTCCTGCCTGAAATAAAATGAAGCTTTCTTCCCCTGCACGTATCTTTTGGTGTCCTGGTCCAAATTCAGACATTAAAAATCACCCTAGAAAGCTAAGGCAGATGACCTCATCCTTCTGGTGATGGCCACATACATTCACCTTTCTTTCAGGATAATCTGAAGTGGATCCAGACTTGTGGAGGTCCTTAGAAGTTCAGGAAGGAATGCAGCAGGAGGGGAACACTTGAAGGACACACAAGTCCAGCCCTAACACCAAGTCTACCAGGTTATGTACTCTGAGGTTTACAAAGAGCAAAAAAACCTGTGACTCAAAAGTTAAATGACTACAACCTGAAGCGCAAGCAATGCATTTGAGATATTTTCAGACATTGTTCCAGCCTGAAAACGTACTCAAAAAATCTAAATGCAGGTATATATATTTTTAAGCCCTAACTAATACACTTCATTTCCTGTATCAGCATTTCCACAAATGTGTTCTATTATATGTGTCCAAACCATTAGATTTAGCCCTTAAAGGCTTTAAATCTACTCAGCTCCAGTCTCTGACCTGGACCAGCTTTTTTTTTTCCCACTGCCTAGAATCTGAAATTTCTTTTCCAGCTGCCAATAATTACTCCGTTCCAGTACACAAAGATGTAAATCCTTGCTGTTCTCCATTCAGATTTGTCTTTAAAAATTCTTTACAGACTTCAGTGGAAAACTTACCATTCAGTTTGTATCTGGAGTTTCCTGGACTGGTAGTTCAAACATCAGCTTCGATTTGTCTTTAACATTCCTCACTTTTAATCCTTTTCTTCCCCGATTTGGAAGAGCTCAACAGCTCACAGAAGAACCTTACTATATACCTTCCATTCATTTTCTTTTGTCCTCAGAGTTTAGCTGTGCTCCCTTCCTACCACAATACAGGGTCAGTCTGCAGTCAGTTTCCATAGCTCTCAGCTCTGAGCTGGAGAACAACAAAGCCTCACTGAGTAGCATTTAAGCTAACAGGCACACAGCTCTGCAGGAAAGAAACATTGGGTAAACCACAGGTAAGAACACACTATCAGAATAAAGCTTGCCACTGGAAAGAGCAGAAAAGAGATTTGCATCAGCAATAGGGTTCAGCTCCACCAAGCAGTCTCGGTTTGGATACTTGCTAAGACTTTCAGATAGCGTGCAAACTTCAGCAAGAGCTATCACAAAATAAGGCTGATGTTTAAACAGCAAAGCAAGAGCAGAGCATCTCTCAGGAAAGCCCTTTTCTGGGGCAAGGGGGCAACGTAACAGGAATCAGAAGGGCCAGGGTCCCTAAAAGTCAGCTTGACAAGATTCTGGACACAAACACGACGAGCACTACCATGAGCACACAGTTCAGACCGTTTGTCAAGGAGCAGACAGGCCTGGTCACCCCTGCTTTCACAGACCTGTGCCCTGTGACCTACAGCTGCTCTGAGTGACAACAGAGACAACTGCTTTTGTCACATCTAATTTCAGTGGCTGCACGCTACATGCAATTACCCCAAGGTGATACAACCTGTTTCCATTTAGATTTGATGTGCCTTTCTATGCAATCTACACACAGAGTATATTGGAGCATTTCATCAATTGCATGAATTGAAGCTGTGAGATCTTAATTAGAAGCTCCATTAATGTCAAAGCAGTAAGTGTGGAAAGCACCAAGGAGAAGGAAAATCTGTCAGTGTGTGCATTTCACCTGTATTGCATCAACTAAGCATGAGATTATGGCCTCTCAACATCCTCACCAAAAATATCTGCAAGCTGGACAAGTTGCACAAAACTCAACTATTCACGAAGTTTATAGTTCCACTGAGGCATCTAAGGAACAGGAATTTTGCAGATCCTTAAGTTATTTCATTTGTCTACATCAACATCACTGCCCCACTGGTGCAGAGTTGTTTTAGCAGTATTTCTTCAGTGGTGCTCAGGGATACTAAGAAACAACTTGAGGAAGGCCTCAAACGACACAAAGTCCAGAAGTCCTCAGCTGGTAATAGTGCTGAGTTTAGTCCTGCTGACCTCAATGATGCAGCAGGGTGGCCTGAACCCTACCCCAGTCTGAGAGCATGCTCAGGATGTCAGCAAGTGGGGTGAGGCTAGCTTGGAGCTGACATCTAAGCTGCAGTTGACGGGGCACAGCCCCAGTGACCTAGGTATGACAAACTCAGGCTGCCCTGTATGTACGCACTCAGAACTATCACTAGAAGAGGAGCTGCACGCCAACATGGACCTGGTAAGAGGTCAACGTGCCAGCAGCACAAGAATGAGCCTTTATCAACACATATGATAACCTGGTGTCAGGTCCTTTGCTTTTTCCCCAGTAATACAATCAAGCACTGCATTCTCTCTAGACCGTAGTGAAAGGCTGGAACGTAACAAGACAAACTAGGACACAACGATACAATTTTAGGCAAGCCGTTTTGGCACAAAAAGATTTCTGTTTTTTGTTTTACCACACCCACCTTGAGAGAAAGCATCATTATCTTTCACAAAAGAGAAAACAAAGTGCAAAGGTTCTCTCCAAAGCCAGGATCACCGTCCCTCGCTCTGCTGTATCACTTCAGCACCTCAAGAACAGGATGGAGACAGCAACAAGAACTTCCTATTAACTGCAGCAGGAACAGAACTATTTCCTCCTGTGGAGGGGAGTTAAGTGTTACAAAAGTAAGGCTAAGGCAACACAGTCTCACTCTACACTCCCACTTGGAGAATTAGATAAGATGCAATTAGCCATCATAACACACTATTTAAAATAAGCGAGCCCTAAGCTTCTCTTCTGAGACACTTCATAGCCATAGACTGCAGTGATTAGTTTAACAGGGCTCGTTACATCAAGCTATTGCAATAAAAGCTTATTTCCAATTAATTCACACTAACATCCACAAAACCAAAGCAAAATAAGGAAACAAAAGCCTAACTGTAGTTGAGTGGGTCTTGGATAGAGCCCAAAGCTGACAAGAAGCAAAGTTCCACACAAGAATAAAAGAAGCTTCAGCATTCTGTTAAGTAAAGTGCTTTTTTTAAGAGGAAAAAAAGTGTCCAGAAAGATGTACAAAAGAGGAAACCTAAGTTTGAAGAAAGCATTAACTGAAGCCA